CCCCCCCAAACTTGCTTCTAGTAAGAGGAGGTCTAGGCTGTGCTCCACTGAGCTCTTCCTTCTTTGGCTGGTGACCCAGTGACCCTGAACTTCTACTGGCCTCATCCCCACCAGCCTTGCAGTCTTTGGCAGGCGCCCCCTCCTCCCCCCCACCCCTCCTCCTCCTCCTCCTCCTCCTCCTATCGCCTTTGGCTGGAACCTCAGCCCGCCCTCCTGCCTGGAAGCCTCGCCCCGTCTCCTTGCCTGGCCCCTACTCGGCTCTTCCTTTGTCACAGCTCCGCCCAGTCGGACAGACCCGCTGCTGGGAAAGGTTCTTCCCCACCCGTTCCCGTTTCCGGGGCTAGGCTGGCAGACATGGACCATCTAAAAGCCAGGGCCCTCCGGGCCAGGCACTGCTGCCCCTCCTTAGAAGCTGGGGCCTGGGAGGTTGGCAGCGGAAGGTTCTCTGTCCCACCCTTCATCAGGTAGCTGTCACCGAGGCCCGGTGGGCTGAGAAGCCTGTTTCTGTGCTGGGTGGGGGCTGCCAATCACGGAGCCAGGCTCAGAGGGCGAAGCTGTGAGTGAGACCCCAGAGCCCGCAGAGCTCCGGGGTGGGGCCGAGCCACTGGTGCCCATGCTGACGACCTTCCTGTGTGGAGATGCAGCCTGTGTTTGTCTGGGGCCCGGCTGCCCGGCCTCTGATGCCCCCTGCCTCCACCCCACCCCGTGCAGCAGGAGCCTGGCCATGGGGAACGAGTCACCAGGGAGCGGCCCCCACCCGGGCAGCAGCAGTGGCAGTGAGAGCTCCGAGGACAGTTCACGATGCTCCTCACCCGGCCTGGACCCAGAGCGGCTCCGCAGGCTCCGGGAGAAGATGAGGCGGAGGATGGAGTCTGGAGACAAGTGGTTCTCCCTGGAGTTCTTCCCTCCCCGGACTGCTGAGGGCGCCGTCAATCTCATCTCCAGGTGAGTCAGTGGCAAGCTGAACAGGCCAGGGGTGGGAGGGCCGGAGAGCCGGCAGCCCCTCTGCAACTCTGCACTCTGACCCGGCAGGAAAAAGCAGCCTGAGGGGGCAGCAAAGAGCGGGGACAGGACTGGACATTTGAGCTGCAGCTTCTCAAGTGTCTCACACAGTCCGGGCAGTGTCAGGGCTTTTCAGACACTCCCTCCGGCAAAGCCAGTGGTTAAAACTGCTGATCCTCTCCGAGGGCATACGAGAGAGGAAGCTGGGGCCAGAGCACAGACAGCCTGGGAAACGGCAGGGCAGCCACTTGGGGATTGCTTGCAGCGAGTTAGGGATGTGGATTAGGCCCTGAATTTGAGGAATGCCAACGGGATATGACAGCTGCCTGCGCTGCCTGCTGCGCTGTTTCCCTGGGCTGCCTGCTGCACCTCACATCTCGCGTCTCCCCAGGGCTTTGCGTTTTAAAGGCACAGGCCATCTCTAGACACCTGTGCAGACAGACATCCATCTCCAAGGCGGTGGCCGTGGTCCCCACAGGGTCTGTTGGAAGTGCCTGGTGGGAAGCCTGTCTTCTGTAATGCTGCTCTCATGCCAGTGTGCCTGCAGATACTACCTCCTAGCAACAGCTGGTGCCCATGCCCCCTAAGTGCCAGGCACTGTGCTGAGCCCTGAGGTTGCCCTGTGTCATGCCCATCTCAGTGTTTTGGTGCATTTGCTGGTTGTCGTGGAGTCCATTCTGGCTTGCAGAACACCCCCCACTCCCCACCCCCGTGTGCAGCGTGACTGCGCCGCCCCAGGCTGTGACCCTTGGGGAGCAGATCACCAGGCCTTTCTTCCAAGGCACCTCTGGGTGGGTTTGAACTGCCGGCCTTTCAGCTAGTCACTGAGCGCTTAACTGTTGGCGCCACCCAGGGATTCCTTATTGTGAACCAGGTCCATTTTATTGATGAAGAAACGCTGCCTCCGAGAGGTGGAGCCATTCGCCCAAGATCACACGCACAGCCCAGAAGTCACAAAGGCCGGACACAAGTGCAGACTGCTGTAGCCCCACTGCCCATTCTGCCTCTCAGGCTCCCGGACGGTGGTGGCAGGTGCTGCTTCTCCCGGAGACCCCCTTCAGAAAGACTCTCCTTGCAGGTTTGACCAGATGGGGGCCGGCGGCCCCCTCTTCATCGATGTGACCTGGCACCCCGCCGGGGACCCGGGCTCTGACAAGGAGACTTCCTCCATGATGATCGCCAGCACCGCGGTGAACTACTGCGGCCTGGAGACCATCTTGCACATGACCTGCTGCCGCCAGAGCCGGGAGGACATCACCAGGCATCTGCACAAGGCCAAGCGGCTCGGCCTGAAGAACATCCTGGCCTTGAGGGGAGGTACGTTGCCAGCACTCGCCACCCCTGGGGTCTTACTTACTTAGCCCGTGCCCCTTTCAGCTCCCCTGGGCCCCATCCTGGGCTCAGTGGGCCGTGAGTCCACCGTGGCACCACCCGATGGGGCCACCCCTGACCCAGTCAGAGCCAGCGCTCTGAAGATGCAGTCAGTGCCCGATAACCCTCTGCCCTGGCCACACGGCTCCATTGATCTCTGGCTGCATCGACTCACTGCACTGGTCTCCGTCCAAGGCGTGATCATGCTGGCTGTCAGGGCGCCCAGATGTGGGAAGAGGGAGCCTGCTGGGTGCGATAGTGTGTCTCCGGTTCCACACGGAAGGCCATTTCCCCGTGACTGAGCTGCACTGAAAATTCTCCCAGAAGGCAAGTGCTCCAGGAGAGTGGGCGAGGAGCAAGAGTGTGGGGTAAGGCTGCCTAGACATGCCCAGGGGGGACTCGACAGAGCCTCCAGGCTAAAGGGCGTGCAGCTGCTAGCCCCTGGTCCCACCTTGAGCACAGCCCCTGGCATGGGGTGGGTGCTCTGTCAGGTTTTGCTAGGGGCTGCCTGATAAACCAATGCTGTGCTGGAAAGAAAAGAAGACTGAACTCCTACAAGGTCTCTGCCTTCAAGGAGCTCACGATGCCCGGGCATGGTGGTAGGTGCCCCGAGTCTGCTCCCACACGTCCATAGCAACCCTGCGTAGGACAGCACAAGACACTGGCTGCACCAGCGGCCTGCTCACCGTGCTTGGGCCCATCGTGGCAGCCACTGTCAGTCCATTTCAGTGACAGCCTTCTCCAGGGATGGCTCCCTGCCGGTGCCATGTCCAACCATGTGAGACAGAGTCTTACCAGCCTCGCTAAGGAGCATTCCAGCTGTTTGACCCCAGACTGTGTGTCCTTCTTGTGTCAGTCCATGGGGCCGAGACCGTAATTCCATTCCCCTCTGACTTTCTTCACTTCACACGCATGTGAGCCGCCCTGGCATGGGGCAGGCACACCTTAGCCCTCAAAGTGACCTCTTTGCACGCTGACCCTCAGAAGGGGGTCTTTCCTGGCAGACTTTCCCTATGCAAGGTGACACTTGAGTAGGCAGCAGGACCCCGAGGTCTATCTGAAGTAGCAAGCCCAAAGGTTGGGCGAGCAAGCCCCAGTGACCTTGGCCCTCACCGCCCTGCAGACCCGGTGGGCGAGCAGTGGGAAGAGGAGGAAGGCGGCTTCAGCTACGCTGCAGACCTGGTGAAGCACATCCGCAGCGAGTTTGGAGACTACTTTGACATCTGCGTGGCAGGTGAGTGGCAGCTCCTGGTGGGTCAAGGGGGGTGCACAGACAGAGAGAGGGAGAGACGGGGACCTCCAGCGCTGAGCAGAGGTGCTGAGTCAGGACACGCTTCCCCAGTGCTCCGGGGCTTGAGCGTGGCCGCATGAGGTGGTGCTAAGGTGAATTGAGGTTCTCACCCAGGGTCTCTGTCTACTGCCCCCACCCCCACCCCCTGAAGTGTTCGTTTTCCCTGACTTCCACGTTCTCAGTCGGCTTCCAGGCCGTCTTCTCAGTGAAAGGAGAAAAAGGATCTACGAAGAGGGTTCCAAGGGACGGACGGGTGATCCCAGAAGTCACAGTCAGTCCTCAGTCAACCCTGGAACCAAGACCCCAAGGCCAGACCTCATGCTCTCGGGGCCACAGAGCCACCCATCTCTGCCTCCCACTGGCCTAGTGCCTCCTGCTTCACCTACAGACCCTAGACGGGTACACCTCTCTGTGCCGCCAGCCTCCTGAGAGTGCCTGCTGTGGCACTCCACACAGGCGGGAGCCCAGTCCCACTGGCAGGCCTCTCTCTCCAGATTCCTGGGAGAGAGAGTCTGATAGGCCCCACTCCAGTTCCCGTGGTGTAGCCAGGCGGCCAGCTCGCATGCTAGAAGGTGATGGAGTGGACACCCCCGCCCCCCAGCCCCACACACTGGCCTTGAGCCCCCTGCGACACAAGTGCAGGGAGGCAGGATGTGTCGGGCTGGCAGACAAGATGCCTGTGTACGTTGGCATTTCTCCTTAGAGGTCCAGCTCCCAGTGGCCTCTAGGACAGGAGAACCACTCCCGTGAGTTCCCAAGACTTTACATCTTAACGGGAGTAGAAAGCCTCATCTCTCTCCCGAGAAGCAGCTAGTGGTTACGGACTGCTGGCCTGGAGGTTAGCATAACCCACTATGTCTCTAGGGCTCCTTCTTAGAATGCCGGTTTTCTCAACATATCTTGGGAGGAAATCATTTTTATGTGAAAAGAAATAGGTTGGTTATGGCATCGCTCACTAAGATGTTTGCCGTGTGACTTCCCGGAAATGGCTCATCTGTCCTGTTCGGCTCTGTCCCCATCCCCACGCAGTGCCCTTGTCCCGGCCCTCAGTTTGCTCAGGCGGATGTGTTTGGGAAGCCCTGAGGACAAGTAAGCCTTACTCGTGTGTCTGCAGTGCCGGTCAGCCATAATGCAGGCAGTTAACTCTGGGTGGTGGGTGTCTACACTGCACCCACCATTCTTGGGCAGAAGACGGGAGCTAGGCTGTGGAGCCTGGGGCTTGGCTTCTCATCAAATGGGTTCAAAGGAGATCCTCCCCACCTCCCACCCCTCCTAGCGAAAGCAAGAGACTAGTCAATTGAGCAAAAATCAAATCAAGTGACGTGTAAGGTACTGCAGTTACAATTTCAGCTCTTAAAAGCCACTTTGTTTCTGAAATTCCTACTGAAAAAAAGGAGCTTTGTTCCTGACGATATGGAAGGCTGGTGCTTGCACCCTGCCCCCTCATGCGTGGAAACAATTCTTTGTAATGTCCATTTTTGATGACTTGGGCGTTCTAAAGAACGCCACTCCCTTATCATAGCCAGGCAGCCCTCCTCAGGCTGCCGACCATCCAGCCCAGGTCTCAGCAGGGGGTGGGGGGTGTTTTACCCTGGTGGTTTTATTAAGGCTGCAGTTGGCCCCACCCTGCCCCAGCAGGGCCACCAGTCAGTTCCACCCTTTAGGGAAGGGCCCTAGAGTTCCTAGAACTTGGAGACCCTTAGGTGGGCACCCCCATCGGCGGCAGCATTCTGCAAGATGACCCTCCTAGCTGCCCCGGGATTTACAGACCTGAGGAGCGCATTGCTTTGTGGGCTGTCTGTTCTGTTAGGCAGCTTTCCAGAACTAACCCTGGTCCTGCCAGCTGGAGCCACCTGGAATTTCATTAAGAAATCTGGCAAATCCTTCCTTCCCACAACAACCTGTAGCTGTTAGCGTGCTTGCGGCCTCTCCTCCAGGGGAAGTGCCCACTCCCTCCAGCTCTTCCTTGGGTGGCGAGGTGTCAGACTCCACGCCCTTGGACCTGTGAGTGGTTTTCATTCGAAGCAGGGGTTTAATCCTGGGCCCCTCCCCAGCCAGGAGACTCCACTTGCTGCCGGACCATGCAGAGGACAGTTCCTGTTAGCCGTGGTCACAAAGTGCAGGGAAGTTGAGGCAGGATAGAGAGCCACCCCCCACCCCCTCCTGGGAGAGCACCCTTCTGGAAGTGAGGGCCCACTCTGGGGTGAAGGAGCCCAGCCAGTCGGCATCCTTGTAGAGAGGTGCGATCCGGAACCCGAGACAGGGAGCTCCCTGCTTGGGCGCTCTGGTCTCTTCATTAGCTTCTTTGAGCAGGTGGAGGCCAGCCCCTCCTATCCCCTGCCCTCCCTGTTGGCAGGCTACCCCAAAGGTCACCCGGAAGCAGGGAGCGCTGAGGCCGACCTGACCTTCTTGAAGGAGAAGGTGTCTGCAGGAGCCGACTTCATCATCACGCAGCTGTTCTTCGAGGCGGACACTTTCCTCCACTTTGTGAAGGCTTGCACGGAGATGGGCATCACCTGCCCTATCCTCCCCGGGATCTTTCCTATCCAGGTGAGGATCCCTGAGGGCTGGCAGACCCCTTCAACGCCCCCGTGTGGCGCTGCCAGGGTCCTGCAGCCGCGAGCCAGTGCCCACCAGCTTTGTCAAGCGGCCTCCATTGCCTACAGTGTGTTGAGGGGGAGAGGGGTTCTCCTGTGGCTTCTGACAAGCAGGTCTCTGGAACCTGGCTCGTCATCCCATTACTCGAGACCCTGGTTCACGCAGTAGGTCTCTGGGGCCGGCCCCTAGATGGCTGACTTGGTGGGTGTGGGGGTGTGCTTGACTTGGTAGGTTTTGCAGGTGACTGGTGATGAGAGAGGCAGCCCCGGGCCAGATGACCACTCGCTCTGTTAAGGGCTAACGCAGTGGCTCAGACCATCGGCAGAGGGGCAGTGGCCGTGCGCTGCCAAGTGGGGCAAGCAGGGTAAACACATGGATTCAGGATACAGCCCACTACTGGGCCCCTCTGTGGCACACTGCAGTT